GTATCTTTATTTATGACGAATTTATATTATTCAAATTTGATGAGACGTAATTACTCAAAACAGCCATAAATCACCCGTTTTATAATAAGATGTTTGGCCGGTTTAGAAATCGCTCTATCGGACAGCTTTATCGACAAATGATGAAGTCATTGACGTCGTATTATTTGTATCGTATCTAAACAGGCTTTTACAAGAACATAATGATATTTAATGTACAAAAAGACGAATCACTTTGATATGTTTTGATCAATTTTATTCTGTATATATTTATTTATCCGTTCGTTAATTTAATGATATTACGTTTTCTATGGCTATTGAAGTACAGAAATAGAACAGCGAAGTTGATTTTTACTGGGAAACTAACATATATTATTGTTGATGCGAGATGAGCCAATAAAAAGCAATAATTCATTTTCGTTATGCCGTGTATGGGTGATAATTTCACATTGAGTCCGCGTTCCGAAGCTTCACTGCGACAATTCGAAATTACGTCGGTCGTATATCACTCATTGTGAGTGGCACAAAGAGCTCGCAGCTACCACTCGCTACTACCCACCACCTCGGCTCACAGTGCCCATTCACACAATTGACATTTGTTTTGAAAGTCGAGAAAAAAAAAACACCGAAAATAATTTCGTTTTAAGTGAGTTGTTCGTAAACAATAAAATCGAAAATATCAAGAGGCTGCATCGCCCGATAAAAAGGAGCAACACGTCGGCTGTCACCGCAACTACATCGACATTTAATCGTCCCATTTCAGTTTCACAAAACGTTATGTTATCTCGAAAACAATTCAAACGCCACAAAACCCAAAACGCTTATCTAATTAAGCATTAAATATTTCATCGAGGTCATTTTATATCCGTTTTATTTTCGGTGTCGATCGTTTTATATGTTTTATCCACCCACGACGATGGAATCTTGGGGGCTAACAGAGATACGCCAAAACAGGATATATGTGAAAAAAGAAGGGGCTTTATTGACCAAATTACCTGCTATTAGGAGGTATGTTAGGTGTAAACCTGGCTTCCGTGGACTCATTTGAGAAGAGTCGCGTCGCTAAACTACGCCGCAGGGGGCACGCCGCGGGATCCCGGACCATACAGTTTTCTATTCTCGGGGCGACAATGGTACGTCGAATAAAGGCCAAACTATTGTGCCGTTGTCATCATTTGTGTTAATACGATCCTTGAGGTTTACGCCACAATGAAATGAAGTTGTCGTGTCTGACGCGTCAATGGAGTGTCAACGTGTAAATTAGTAATTATTCGTGTCCCATCCAGGAGGTCTTTGTGCGCGCAGAATGTAATTATGTCCCGAAACAAATCTATACAGATCGTGTTTGATGAACATTTCTATATTCAGGTTGGTTTGTTGTTGTTTTTTTTTTTCTTTAATAAGTAGCGAGATATGGCGGTCCCCCGCCGCGGCCGGTTGTACGTTTTTATGCGTTACTCAAATGAACGTAATTGCAATGTATTAAAAAGTTTATCGTGCATATTTGCGTCTGGCCTGTAATATGGGGCCGCGCGATTCGCCCGCCCTGCCTGCCCTTAATAAAGTAATATGCTCTAAATGCACACGCATATAACATAAATTTTGTAATCTCCTTCTTGCTTTTTTTATCGAGTGAAATTATTACGATGGTGGTCCCATGGCCCATGCCTACTCGTGCTGTATCTGGCTTTTAATTTAGAAAAATGGTACTTAGCTTTTATATTTTGTTCTATTCTATTTTATACCTGTTAGTATTTATTTCTGTTCTTGGCAAAGGAATTTATGATGGTATAAATATTATGTTGTGTGACATTGTTTGGGATTTAAGTTTAGATGATAAATGATTGAATTAACGGCCAGTGGTAACGGTCATAAAGTTTTTTTTTTTAGTTTAATTGGTTCTGTTCCAGTTAAATACTTTATTTTGGACACATAAATAATTGGATTCGAGCCTTATTTTAATAATTCTTTTGATTTACCTGTTCACTCACGCATTTTATTCTGGTTGAATTCGCCTCGAGGCTATGTCGACCCCGAGTTGCTTTTTTTCTTTATCATAAACTTTAATATTGTGTAAACATATAAATCTAATTGCAATTTGTTACTAATTAAACTATTCTATGAATATTTAATTTTTAATGGCGTATCGTAACACATTTGCACTAATTAAAAAATATATTTTATGAGTAATTTGCGTAAGGTCGAGAACTCTGCATTGCCGAGATGTTAGAATATCCCACTCTAAAGTATCTACTAATATATTTTTTTTAATGGATGATAATGTAATGGTAACCCCGCCTGCGCTGACGGTATACGTTGGCGGGGCACCAGTGAGGGATGATAGGTGGATAATGAAGAAGCAGGTCAGTTAGCCCATTGTGATGAATATATCCGAAATTCAGCACGATGATTTCCAGGGGGAATCGCCAGGGGGAAGGTCGACCTGACAGGGTGTGTTGCTGGCAATGTGACTGGTAGCCCGCATTACTAACAATCCCTTCCCCCCCTCTGCTAATATATTAGAAGGGGTTTAAGTTATTGCCAAATTTTATTGAAATTAATTCAACCTTTTATGGACTATTGACAACGAACTATTTATTAGGTTAGTCTGGCACACTATCAAATCTATTGCATTTTTTTTTAAATAATTAATGCCCCATTTGATACGGCATCTAATGGGACATTTATTTGTAAAAAAAATTGTACTTAATTTGTATTAATAAACTATCAGCCACTTGATTTGACAGAGAGCTATGTAAATAAATAATGTGTTAATACTATTGTTATTCACATATTTTTCATCAACATCATTTTTCTTATCCATTTTAAATACTATATATACCTATATGGTAAATTTCACAAAAAATTACTAAGCCGTTAAAGTACCAAACGATAACAGACAAACAAACTCACTTCCTTAGGGGGGAAAGGGATTGTTAGCAATGGAGTTTGACAGCCCCATTGCTAGCAATATATTATTATTATTAGGTTAACCTCCACGTGGTTCCCCCTGGAAACCATCATGAACAATTCTTGTTGAATTTGTCACGATGGGCTAACTGACCTGCTTCATCCTCATTTATCATCCATCACTGGTGCTTCGCCGATACTATACCGATAGCACAGGCGGGGTAACCATTCCATTATCATCCATTAAAAAAAAACTCACTTCCTTAGTTATAATACAAGTAACGATTTACTTAATTGAACATTCATTAAATCGAGTGTGTCACTATATTCCAGTTTCTGTTCCACACATCCGATTAGGTGATATTTAAAAAAAAATATATGACTTCAAAAGTTCGAAGTGCATTCAAAATAATAGAAATATGAAGGCGCTTGTACAATTCATTAACGTATTAGAAGCGAGGGTCAATAACCGGCGCACCGTCCGTACCACATCGTCTCGATATCGCTATCGAGTCGAATTCGGAATGAGATCGAATTAGACCGAGATACGGGGGCGAGCGCTCTTAATTTTTGAGATAACCCCCTAATGCGGGCGCGGTGAACTTCGATCCATGTAAATCTTTTGTTGTTGTATGTTTTTTTTTAGATTATTCATAATAATATATACATCATAAGAACTATTAAAAAACATTTCGTATTTCGATTACACAAATTAGGTACTTATCTCTGCTAAAAAAAAGCAAAATAAAAAACAGTACGTGAAACACAACTGTTTTTTGTGCTATTAAAGCGAATAATGTGTAAAGAACAGATGTTCGCAAAATCATAATAAGCCGTATCGCATACAATGAATCGTAATCGGACACCGGAGATAGGACAGCCCTGATTCAAACTACAAATAACACTTTGCTGTCAACACAACTCAAGGTCAAGGAAATTTCGACCTTACCCCCAAATAATTAAAAGGCATTGCATCGTTCGGACAAGATTAATTTTACTAAACTTCGCAGTATGATTTTAGAGGCAAACAAAAAACATATTTTTTTTTAAATATTCTGTTAAAGAATGAAAATTGTAAATTCTATTAAACTTAAATCAATGTATACCTACAGACAAATTATCGTTTCACATCGTTTAAAATATAAATAGTTGTGTTACTAATATTGTGAAGCTAATGGAGATCTATTCGCTGATTTGTATCTATTGATATTATCTACATCCATTCAATTCAACTAAATGTATTCACGCTAGTACGATTACGAATGTAGTAAAAAACATGTTTTTTTTTTCGAAAAAAAAAGATCTTACTAAATTCTACATTAATACGAAAAGATATCTGTTCTCTACAGATAATTTCTATTTGTTAGTAAGTAAATATGTCTTCTATGAAAGAAATAGAATATATACTCGTGTATAGGTAAAAAAATAAGTTTACATATAATGTAGATATACGAAAATCAGCTGTTTAAACTCCCTGAGTTATAATAAGATAATGAAGTGTTTAAAAGAGAATTTCAAAACGGAATACATTCAAAATATAAATAAAAAGAGAGAAACGGGAACTCAAACGTCATTCGGTCTCGTGTAATTGATCCAGGATGTTTTATCTTGATGAGCCCTTTATAATGTGCCCCCGACTCGCTACCCTCTTGTTGAATACAGATAAAATCTTTTAAAAGGGTTGCCAACTAAAGATATGATTTAATTTGTAGCTACTCTTTGTAGCCGGAATTAGGAGTAAAAAAATATATATATATATAAATCTTTTTTGTCTTCTTTGCGTTTTGCAGGGTTAAATTGTAAATTTGAAACTGGATTTCATTAATCTTTTTAAATATCGCGGACTAACTCTAAGTACTCGTATTTAGTAATTTGTTAATTTTGTTTCTTTTATTCATGCTTGTTGCTTTGTTGTATTTTTCTGTCATGGCCAGACATCGATTTGAGTAAAGATTAACACGTCTTATTTTCTTCATATACCTATTTCATTTTTATTTTTGTTATATTGCTTTGAGTGCGTGATATGTGTATATGTGTAACCGTACCCATGTCAAATATTTAGTCATCATTAACAAATCCGATAATCTACTTACCTCTGTCGACGATCTTGCCAAATAAATTCTTCCCTCTCAAGAAATTTCTTGTGGAACAATTCCATCTTCTATATTTGAACTGGTGTTGGCATTCGGTGACCGCCATGCTAGCACCCTTGGCGACGGCTGCCAAAACACCAGGGTTCTCTCTGGCAAGTCTTCTCTGCTTCCGTCTTAATGTAGCGTGCACTGCTGGATCCATGTATAGTACTCCAGGCGATATTGGTGACAGGTTATTTGGTTCACCGGCTTTTGCAATACCCCTGCAAAGAAAGAAATTGTTATCTCTAATTAGTATTTAAGCAAAGTCTTATTTCTTCTAAACCACGTGGTGGATTTTACTACGGATTTCATGTAATGGTTGGTTTGTAAGATTATTTGTAATTTGTATAATGTACTATTAAAAATAAATATGTTGCCACTGTAAATTATTATGTAAATTTGGTTTTTGTTTGTGTTCTTAGCATAATTAAACGACTTTGTATGCCAGATTCTAGTGAAGAGCGTGAACAATATTTTAGTATTATGTATCATCCCTTTCTCACTTTTCAAACAAAATATAGTTATTTCTGTGTATATCCTAATTATACTTTTATGAAAGTAGATAATTGTATTTTTACTAAATTAAGTATTATTTTACGGAGATCCCCTGATTAGTTAATTAGAATTATTTTGTTTAATTCCATAACCATTATACATATTATTATTATTTATATTATCCATATCTCTACGGCTGCTAATATTTAAAAAATGATAGTGGAGACTATAATAGTTATCAATCTCTGACCATTATTTAGTCCACATTCATGTTGCGACACGTTTTTCACCTTTAAACGAGGGATAACCAGGTAATTAATAGTTCTAAATAATTAACTAGTAGATAATTGGTCCTGTACAAAATCGGGGCCGATTGCTAGTCTAATTATGATAGAATAAAAACTACAGAGTATCCAAGCATAGTATAAGTTTCGACATCGCACATCGCCAAAGACAATGCCCGCGCGTTCTCTAAACTTGAATGAGTAAACATAACAAGAACGCCACTTAAGGCAATGGGTTCAACTCCAAATGAAATGCTCATTTGAAAAGGTAAAGACAACAAACAATTGACGTCCGAACTGTCAATCCGCAGACGTTTAGATAAATATTTGCGACGCGCATTAATCCTTGAGGGCCGAGTGGGTAAACACGAGTGGAGAGCTGCGGAGAGCGATCGAGATCACGGCGCGATCGCGTTGCCAGATTGGGTATTTTTTCGCAATTTTGGGTAAAAAAGTGTTGTCTAAGGGAAATGTAATTCCCGGAGAAAGATTTGAGGAAAATTTAAATCGGTATGGAGAATTTTGATATTTGTAAAGCCAAAACTTGTATCTCGTATATTTATAAAAACGTTAATCTTGACTGACTATCAAAACATAGTCCATATTAAGTTTAGGAAGCCGAAATTTGAATCATAGGTATATTTTATAACGTAAGTATGGCTAAGAAAGATTTTTAAAAATTTCGTCTTAAATGTTTGTTATTTTTCCATCGACAATACTTAATACGTGGGTAAAACGTAGTACAAATGAGCAATAATTTAAAATTTTATGATAGGGTGAAGATAAAGAAAATTGTGTTACATTAGAGAAAAAATAATAAATTTGGGGAGAAGAACAAAATCGTATCTGGCAATGCTGCGGTTTGTTGATATTAACTGCGTCCCGACCGGGAACCGGGAATCGGGAACCGTCTCGGCAGGGCACCACAAAAAACTGGACACACTGCACCGCGCGCCGTGCCTCGCGCTCTGCGCCCTAGTAAACGTATTACTTTTCTATTTGCCTTTCTTTGTAGTCGAGTGCTACGTAAATATGAACGTGTTCGTCGGAAATTCTCATTTCCTTAGAGAATTGAAATAGAGACGCGAGACAATGTTTTAGACATAGGCATAGAGAAAGATAGATGACGCAAGTACCCCAATTGAAAATTAGACGACCCAAGTAATTAAAAATTGGAAACTAAACACGTCAGTTAACTGAAGTATCGTAATGTCAAATATATAAACTAGGAGAGGCTTTGCTATATTTTCAGCATAGACGACACGATTCATATAAAAAATTTAATATCGTTATTGAAGAAAAATTGCTGCTCAACCTTATTACCTACTTGCTCAAATAGTTCAAATATAATATGAATGGAACGGAATAACTATAATCACAGCATACTTGATTCTCCACTAAATCCTTTCTATAATGTTTATTATAAAGCTTGTCCTCTACATTTTCGCTGAAGGAAACTTCATAAACTTCTAATCGATACCTTGCCATATATTAAAGTAATTGCGATATCTATTTAAAATAATATCTAGGTTGTATCACAAAGTACACGTTTAACGATATTGAATGCTATTACTTATAGAACTTGAAATTTGACAAAATAATTTTACCATTAAAAGTAAACTTAGCAATATTCATTTCAAAATCGGAAATGCATATTTACAAGTATCGAATATCATTAGATAAAATACCTAATTATAAATAGAAAATAAGGAAAAAAATTGTATAGTGAGAAATATTGAATTTTTTAAATAATGATAATACAGTAAATAAAAATACTTTATTTCAAAGTGCAAATGAAGGAAAAATTTAGATAAATTCCTAGTTGATTTGCACCATCCTTTAACATTATGATAATCTTGATTTAGTTCACAATTATGCATCAGAGTTTTATTAGATACTGAATTATTACGGACCAGTTTATTAGTTTTTAATGCTTTTTATCTAATTTAAACTTGTGTGGTCATTTTTATACTACACTGTTGAATACTATACAAAACAAATTTATTTCTGCCATTTTGTTTCATGTCATAAATTATTTTTAATAGACGTTAGTGATATTATATATAGATTAGATTGACTCATGGTATTTTACACGACTAAAATAAAATATTATGTCTATGTGTTCAATTAGGAACCTCTTCTCTCTGTTGGGTATGGGGTTTTATCCATAAGAGGAGAATTTTAATCTACTATTACCACGCTGACGAGTTGTTTGACGTAAAATTGTATTTTGAGTGTTTTAAGAAACCTTTCTAGTTATATGATATATGAGAAATGTTTGTTTGTTTATTACTATGAAATTTGATATACATATATATATTTAAGAGATGGAGAAGGGCGTTTATTTCAGTCAGTGAACATATCCCGGTCTCGCGAACAAAGTCGCGTGTAAAAGCTATCAATGTATTAATTTAAAATAAATCTCATTTCACTATTATAACAGGATTTGAAAGGCTAAATTTGCAGAAAAATTAATTATCATCATCATACCGATCATTAACTAGATCTCCCCCAGAAGTGGGGTTTAGCCAGTAGATGCCACGTTTGGAGGGCGGGTTGGCAACAGCAGTTAGGCTTTGGTGTTGTTTTAAGACGGACGCTGTCCCCCATTCTTCGAGTATTTAGTTCCCTTAGTCGCCTTTGACAATACTGTAGACTTATTTTATACTTTCCGTGGGAATATATATATATACGTTAGTTAAAATACGTAAAGGAAAAACAAATATAATTAATTATAAATAAACATCTCAGTTTATTAACTTTAGCATATTTAATTATATGTCTATAAACATTCCGATGCATCAAGCGATGCGCTTATATTGATTATACTCATATTTTAAACGAACTTAATCCGTCTGTGGGTGCAATAAATAAACAAAAACCACGCATGTCCATACTTGTCTGTCCTTAAAAAAAAGTCCTTCGCACTTGTCATATTGCTGGTAGGAAACCAAATATCACGGGAAAAAATCCCTGAACGGCTTTCACGGGCAAACGTAATGTTTGCACAGAGATAAAGTCTGTGTGAATGTGTCAAAATAACAAATATTGTCTTTGGTGCGCTTTGTGTCTCTTTGTGGCAATTAAACGTCATCTTTGAGTTTTGGGTGCGTTTTTTTTTCTCGTTTGTAGCAAGTACTTAACTTAGTTAAGTATAAATAAAACATAAAGGAATATTTTGAATAAAATGTTCTTGTACTTTAATTCTGTTGTTTGTTTGCATTAATTAATATTTATAAAGAGTTAGAAAATGAGAGGCAAATACCTTAACTAAAACTGTTTTCTGATTCCATCAGATGGACTGTCAGCTTTATTTGCTATTTAGAAACAACATATCTCTTCATTAGTTTATAAATCATTAAAGTTAGACTATAGTTAAATCTTTTAAATACTCTTAATTTTTTTTTACCCTTTTAATCATAAAACTGTCAAACGTCTCATAAACCTATTTCAGTTATTGAATTGTTTTGTCTCTTTCTTTTGTGCTAAATCCCCAATTTGAAAGAAGATTGTCACCTTTCAAATTGGGGATTATTTTAAAAAACACTAATAATTAAAATAGATTTGTAAGTAGTTTTAGTTTTTACGAATTAGGGTTTAAGCTGTTCAATCGCATACTTCATCATTAACTTTATCATCATCTCGGGCATTCACTGTCCACTGCTGAACAAAGGCCTTCCCCATAGACTGACATAAGGAACGGTTCTAAGTTACCTGCATCCATTGACTCTGATATTTGAGGTCGTCTCTCCATCTAGTGGGGGGGGGGGGGTCGTCCTACACTGCGTTTACCCGTACAGGGTCTCCACTTTAGAATATTTTTTTCTACATCGGTTATCGGTTCTACGAGCTATGTGATCAAAGTGACTCGCACACATGGTACTTACAAATATTTTGGCATCGCAATAAATTCAGTTGCGACACTACTAAAGCATGCCAATGTCACAATTATGTGTCAATTTTCAAAATCAGTTGTACAATATCCAATGTTTCGGTTCGATTATTTAAAAATTTGTTAATTAAAAATTATTATTAAACAACAATTGGGCATAAATTTTATATTGTACATGCCAATATAGTAGAATGTGGAATAATGGATTTGCAGAAAATATTTTAATCTAATATATGTAATAAATAAAGTGATCTGCTAGCGAACTAAAACGTTCATCAGATAATACGTTATCTGCTACTAAAACCATTGCATACACTTCATATTTCTCTTTGGAATTCTTCAAATACTTTATTACTATCAAAATTACTATCACAAATAAGATTTCAATTCGTTAGCAGAATACTTTTTAAATAATCAATAAGAAACATTGAAAATTCTTTAATTGCTTTTTTTTTTTTTATTTAATTGTTAATTGCAACGTTAAAACACTTCGGTGAGCTGAAGTATGAACGCTCTTATACGGACGGCTTTATACGAGAAACGCATCTCG